AGAATGTTGGAAAGGAAAAACATGACATTCCAGAAGCCCGTGAATAAAAGTTCATAAGAATTAAAATTGTATCAACAGAATAACAGAAGTAGCAGAAGAAAAAGAAGCAGAGACAGAAGAAGAATGATAATGGAATAAATTTAAACCAAAATACTATCACAACTGAACCTGGATTGTCAGTGCCATAACCGGCAATAGAGGACTCATTCTCAGTTTATGGACAGGTTATGCCTTTTGTGAACATTCAGAACCTCCAGAATTCCTTCACTGAGCTGCAGAAGCTGCACTAGCACTGGTTAAAGATTGGCTGCAGGGGTTGGGATTTAGGTTTAGTGACTATTCAGATCAGAGCATTAAACTGGCAACGTATCTGTTTACCATTTTAAAGATATATTTGATTTGAACATGTTTACCTTGCATTTGTGGATACAGACTAAGTTTATGAAATATAAATGACACTTCCTTAAAGGTGCAGTAAGTAACTTTTTGGTTGGAGGTCCATCACCTGCTTGTTTGTATGGATATGTCATTGCTCTATCTGAAATGTTCCACAGCATGACATTGAACTGCTCTACTTTATATTTATTCAATTATTAGCTCAAAAGTACATGAAAAAGCAGGCATTCTGACTGTGAGCAGGATTGCCTCTGTAAGATCTGACCTGTCATTTGGTTTGATTTCATACCATACTGTGAAACACTCCAGATAAAGCAATAACATCTCTGTGGAGACAAGCATTTGACAGACCCTTCACTAGAAAAAGTTACACAATGCACCTTTAACCCTGTCAAAAGATGTAGTGTTTCCACAACTGGTTGTATTAATAACTCTATGGACAAAGTACACGTCACTACTTATTACTACTGCGCTTTACACTGGCAGTAACTCTGACACTTCTGTTACATTGACATGAGGTTGTGATAGGATGTGGTGACCTATTGACCTCTATATGAATGCGTGTGGCTTCTATAGGTTTCTATCATGAGAAAATCAGCTTCAGTCCTACACTGTGAGCTGCAGCTTTCATAAACTTAGCTCCCACTTCACCCACAGAATCCAATTTTCTTCAGCCCAGAAAAGGTTATTCCTGGAACATTCACTGGCTGTAGATGCGATTGGGAACATGAGACCTCAATAAGCCATAAATCTGTATTTCTCTCTGTATTTTTCTGTCCATACATTGAGCATTCCCACGTGATATACTGCGGTGCGGTTCTATCAATCAGAACTACAAGGTTAGATGGTTTTGCGTCAAGTAATTCTGAGTTTCTGAATTAGCTCGGAGGAAAAGGAGCGTTTCAAAAATATTAATAACGCAATGATTTTCATGTAAAATGTCAATGTAAAAATCAATTGCAAACTGCCTCTTGGAAAAAAGTGAAAAAAAGTCTGGGTACATTTGTAATCATCTCATGAGAATGCCATTAGGACTGCAGTGCGTCAGGGGTTAGAGTGTTATTGCTGTGTCTTTGGGCAAGACACTTCACCAACCTTGCCTCCGGTGTCCATCTACGTTGGTGTATGAAGAGTATGTTCTGTTACCAGATGGAAATGAACAATAACATGCACCGTCTTCAGCAAAACTAATAGACCTTTTTCACAACAGCCCGAAGTGCCACCATGTAGGGTAAATATCACTTACATTAATACTTTTCTATGGCAAAATATCTGTGGGAATGTGTCGCATACTTTCTACCAGCTTCATAAATCTGCCCCATCACCAAATCTTCATCCAGCAAGGTGGAATTTATCCACAACTATCAAGGTAAGAAAGACAAAAACGTAAAGCCAAATAACAACTAGCATTAGTGAACTACTCCTGAGCAAAACATTATGATCATGAATAAAACATAAGTATTTGTAATGGATTTCATGATGTAGATATTAGCATAAACAGAGAGATTTGTGCAGTTTAAATGTTAAACATATAATCTGTGAACATCTGTAGCATTAGAACTGCACAAATCTCTCTGTCTATGCAAATATCTACATTAAGAAATTGATTACTTATTAGTTATGTTTTAGTTATGTGTTAGTAGTTCATTAATACTAGTCGTCGTTTGCTTTTACGTTTTCGTCTTTCCTAGCTTGATAGTTGTAGATAAATTCTTCATGGACAGAGTATGTCCTTTGTCGACCTTGTTGGATGAAGATTTGGTGATGGGGCAGATTTATGAAGCTGGTGGAAAATATGCAAGACATTTACCCTACATTGCGGCACTTCTTTTCACCGTTGTGACAAAGGTTTTATCTAATAACTAATAAAACGAATACATACTAGACTAATAAAAAATACACAGCAACTTAATGTTCAATCTGCCAGAAAAAATATTTGTGCAGAAATTATCTGGGCATTTTGAACAGAATTTTCCGTGTTGTATTCTGTTTTTAACTCACTGCTCCTTTATCTATTTTGAGCATCCTCTCAATTTTTTTTTTCCTCACAAACTGCCACTGCCACTAAATATTTACTACAGGTACTACCCCACCAAACCAAGTCATAGCAATATCAAAACCTGCCAAATGCACTTTAAAGTTGAATAGCTGAGACTTCTCCCGTCCCTCCCATGTTGTGTTATGTGCAGACTTGTGCCCAGTGGGTGCCTGTTTGAGCCTGTGTATATTTAGTCATCATGAGGCAGAGGTCAGAGAGAGGCCGGCTGTGACTTTGGGGCAGACGGGCAGTCAGCAGGACTAGCCCCACGCTGCTCCCTGCATTCACCTGTCATGTCCTACTGTACGCGTATTACGCCAGCATTTACAATACAGTGCCCCCCTGCTGGGATGGTGCACTTGGAAAATACTGGAAAACACAATGTTTTTATTGTTTTCATTCAGATCTGTAGCTCAAATGATTAATAAAATATGGTAAGCAAGAAATGTCATTAGACAGACATAAGTCATTCATGAACTGCATATTACAAATGGATCAAGTTAAAGAAGGTGACATTTTTTGAGCTTCTACCATCTTATAAAGTTGTCCCCTCATCAAAAATACGCTTCAGGAAGTTTTAGATGTCATCCATGCATGTTTGAGTAATCTAGCGATCTCTCCAGGAACCTATTTAAACTCTCCTTATGGTTAGCATGATACTACAGACTGAAGGCGTGTAGGCTGAAGGTTAACACTTATTTTGCCTAACCCATATAACATATAGAATAGAATAAAATACATGATACAGCATCTAAATATGTTACACGTTAACAGTGAAAAAAAACACTACATCTTTAAAGCAATTATTGGCCCCACTCAAATTAATTCGATTCACAAAAGAACTGCTGGTCATTGCGAAAAACTAACAAATAAAGACAATATTTTTTAAAAATATCATAATGACAAAATATTCAATAACATTTCTACCTGGAGTCGTTGTAATGCAAAAATATGAAATGATTGAAATATATATTCAGAGCACATGTAACAAAATGTCTGGTCATTCTGAAGAATTGTGACATTCAGCGATGTCTAATGTCAGCAGAACTCCAGGGATTCAAATTACAGCCAACTACTCGAGGTAAATGCCACCAAATCACAGAGGTGTTACCTGGCACCAGGGCCTTTTGTTAGTGTTAAAGATATCGCCTTTGGTCTGTTGAGATTGGATCCAGGTATATCTGTGTAATATATCTGTGTAATTATAATAAGAATCTTTTTATATTTTATTATATACTTAAACTGCAACTGCAAGAGATCTACAACTGCACTTAAAAATAAAACCTTTGAAATAAGTAAGATGATTTGTTTGATATGTAAATAAGAAAAAAATACTTCTCATTTATTAATTTAATGAAGTAAATAATATCAGTTTTGTTATTGGACTTGGTAATAGGATGAAATTAGCAAGAAAATTTTAACTATTCATATTGGATGAGGGTTATGTCATAGAATAAAGCAGAATGAAAGATGCTTACCAAGTACTGATAATCTTCTTGTTAGTTGCCATGTTTTTACTATGATAACATTATATGTTATAAAGTACAGTACTATCAATGCATCATGAATGTACTACATATATAACAGATTTTGAACCTTTTTAAAGGGACATTGTGTAACTTCTCTACTAGAGAGTTAAATGCTTTTCTCCATGGAGATGCTATTGCTTTGTCTAGAATGATAATGGAGACCAAGCCAGACCAAGTTACAGATTAGATCTGCGGAGAGGGAACCCTGCTCACAGTCAGAATGCCTGTTGTTTTTTTTTTGTTTTTTTTAGGTATTTTTGAGCTATAGTACCACCTGTAATTTAATACATGTAAGGTAGAGCTGTTTAAAGTCATTCTGTGGAACATTTCAGGCAATGACATATCCATAGCAACAAGCAGGTGACGGATCTCCAACCAAAAAGTTACACAGTGCACCTTTAATGGGCACATTTATCTTGCCCGAGTATATTCTGTAAGCAGCTCTTTAGGTCAATATATGTCCACTGCATGCTGCCTGTATCTAATTAGAAAATGCTTTATTGTATAATAATCAGGAAATGTACATTAGCATGCTAGTTATTGTTGGCTTTATCTTGACCGCAAAACTCCTTGGTCTCTCAAAGTTGTGAAAAGCACTTATAAAGCCATTGCAAAAGGTAAGTGAGGAATCACTTTGGACTGCTGCTCACCTTTTAAAATGAAATAGTTCTGTTTTTCACATTTTTAAGACAAGTAAAATTGAGTAGAGCACCTTTAAGTACTTTGCAAAACCACTACCAAAGATTTAATGAACACACCACTTAGCAAATGACTTCAATATGGCATCTAAATAGATTTTCAAAAAATTGATCATTGTCGCGCAGTGCATTTAGCTCCCAAGGACAACCTAGCGTAGCCTCGAGTGTGCAGACAAGCTCCCGTTATGCCGCTGCACTTTTTTTGAAACTATCAGTTTTGAAACTTTCATTTAGCCAAGGGCGGATTTTCTTTGGGGCTGTATGTGTAAACAACATTTTATAATAAGGTTGTGTGTGCATGTTTGTGTGTGCATCGCGTCACCATGGAAACAGACTCACAGCCGTTGTAGATGTCCGTGGGGATGTGCACAGCCGTGTAGTTGGAGTCGGTCAGTCGCTTAAAGGAGGCGTCGTGCTTGAAATTGGGCCGGATCCTGCCCTCCGTCTTGTTGGGGTCCAGCTGTGAGGAGATAGACAGATCAGAATTCACGGAGAGGAGTGCTGACGCTAAAATATCATGCAGACACACAAAAAAGATATCTGCTGAAGCACCATTCTGCATACAATAGAAGCAATGTGGGGTTGGTAATGGATGGAGAAGCATTAGCCGTTCAAAAAAAAATGCAAAATGTGCATAAATAAAAAGCAGTTGGATTTATGGTGTGTATATATAATGTCAGACCTCCCACTAGCGTTATTATTGTGTTTATTTGGCAAAGGGGGCTTGTTGGTAAAATGCAGCTGCAAGCAATACTTTCTGTCAAAATAACCTGCATTATATTTTATGAGTGCATCTATGGTTCTCCAAATGTCTCCAAAAAAGAAAAAAAAAAAAGTTGCTATTACTACTATTATTGCTGGGTTGTGCTAAAATTAATACATTTTTAAAGAGGCAGAGGACAGTGACTTGAGGGTGGATGTCACTGACAACATGTTAAACACTAAACAATAGGACAACAATAAAACAATCAGATAGTCTTTACTTAAATTCATTTCAACAGGTTGTTTTACTTTATATTTTATGCTTTTAGTTGGCATTATCTTTGAAACACATTTATCTAAGTTGCGTTCTACTGTGCACAGAGCCTATTCATGTAGTATGTACTAAGAGCTAAGACGTCCCTGTTTCCCTGGGACAGTCCCAGTTTTTTAGCCTTTGTCCTCCATTTATCCAAAACCAGTGATTTGACACAGTTTTATACAAGAAATATTCCAGGTGTCCTTATTTTTGACCAATATGTTACCTGCAAACAGTAAAGAGAGGCATACATTGTCATCTGTTTAGGTAAAATACAGAAAATTGCTTAAAAATTATCAAAACACAAAGAAAATGTGACTATACTGACTCACATGGGTCAAGTGCATAACAATTTTCCTTAATTACGCACTCGTTTTACAATTTTATTATTAACAACCAACACAAAGCAGGGGCGTACCAGTTTTTTTTTTTTTTTTTTTTTGAAACTCTGGCCACCCTAAACTAACAACAAAATGTATAAATGTGTTTGCTGTTAGTTTATTTTGTATTTGTTAGGGACCATGTACAAAATCATTAATCTTTCAAAAGAAAAGATAATCTTTACCAGATTTAACTGCTGCTACTTTCCATCTGGAGTTACTGGGAGGCACACCCATACAACTGTTATCACTTACTAACTGTAACTTACCTAATAAACAAGAAATACTAATACTGCTCCTCTTACACAACTACTGATGACAATTTTGAATCAATTTATCCAAAATGCTTATGAGGTACCTCATAAGCATCAGTTTTAGGAAAACACAAATAATTGACAAAAGCAGCATAGTGTTTTACAGATTAAACTAATAGCCATTTTTTTCACGGAGTAGCTCTGTAAATATTAACTCGGGACAAAATGTACCATGGATAAATGTCTATTCAATAGCAATAATTATATCTACATTCAAAATCTAAATGTAACATACTGAAGCTCTTTAAATATATAGAAAGCATCATAAATTGTAATGGAAAACCAGATGAAACCAACTGTTCATATCATCTGTTTAGAGTAAATTAAATTAATAATTACATATGCATCCATCAGATTCCTCCATTACTATCAATAGGCTATATGGTCTGAGTAATTGCTAGCTGTTACATTTATAACACTTACCCCCACACTCTCATTAAAGCTCATGTAGCATCATTTCTGTAGACTGATTATGACAATATCGACTGTTTGTTTGATGGCAGCATCAGTTCAGCCCATGTTCTTGCCAACACTTATCAGAAGCCATCATTAAAGAAAAAAAAAAAACTCTGTCTATGGAGATTTATAATGTCTTGTGTGCTGTTGGTTGTAGGAGCTAGGGGGGGTGCTGAGTTCTTCAATGGGGGTGCACAATTAACATAGTAACATTTCAATGTAGTTAGCCCCTGTTGTGATTTATAAAACCTAATATGGGATTATTGTTTTTATTGTCGTCTCATTTTGAACATAGTTGCTATATGAACCTTTTTAGCAGAGATTGAGTGTCTTATGAACATGGGACAAAATCCTTTAGATGGGAGTATGGGTGTGCATTGGCCATTCTAGGGGAGGCTAGTGCCCGCTTAAGTCCCTCTGGCACCACCCCTACTTCTGTGGAAAGAATAACTGTTCATAGCAAGTCTTTTACAGACATTTACAGATATTGTATAATAGTATTATTGATACTTTGTGGTGACATCACGCTGTGTGGGTAATGCATGTATGTCTGTTAGGGGTGTAATGGTACATATAGTCGTGCCGAATCCTTTTGGTACGGGACGTTTGGTTCAGTGCAGGGCTGTGCATGAGTGAGTTCAAGCAATTTATGTGTGTTTACATTCCTCCACTACATGTGCAGCTACACGGAAGACTCGGCTCTTTAATATTCACGAGGGAACTCATTTGTGTTGTGTGTTGACAACAATTGTCCCCCACCTTGACTACCTCCCCCCAAACCACATGAATCCTTGCAAAACTATGATCATCCTCACTTTCGCCTTTCACCGGCACAGAACCACCCCCACCATACGCACGACCCCTGTCCCTAACGAAAGGGTGTTTTCTATCACTGTGGACATTGTAACTGCAGCAGATCTGCACATGTGACAATGTGGACAAGTTGTTTTTTCTGGCCAAAAATATGAAGATTGAGTAAAACTTCATTCTGGAACTGTTAGTGCCACGCTTTACTTTTGGAAAGGTTTTATTTACTGTTTACAAGGAATTTATCTTTTATAATATATAGCATTATGGCTTGTGACTATAATGTTATTTGAGATGGATTAGTACAAAACCAGCTATGTCAGATTAATATGGTCAGATCGTGCTAGCTCGAACCTAACTGTTTAAAGTGTAACTTGAGAAACACAGAAAGACAGAGCAGTGCCTCATGCTAGCTTCACCCCGTAGGGAATGTTGATGACATGAGCTGCAAAGTATGATTTAATATTGTTTCTATGCTTGATCCTTCTCTATCAAAACCTAATTGCTAATATAAATGTACCTTCATTTGACACTTCTCTCATGGCATGACATCTTAATTACAATATCAACTTATTTGCTTAATGAAGCTCCAGTCCTACCCACGTTTTCTCTACACGCAGCTGACACACGAGCCGTCAATGTCAATTTTTACCACGCCTGATCTTCGTGCGCATCCACCGTCTCCACTAAGACATATGAAGCAAAGCATAAGATATGGAGGAGAGGTGCGAAGCTGGTAGGGGGTAGGGAATAGTGAGTGAAAAAAAGTGCTTCCTCCTAATAAAGCAACAGTGTAGCTAGCCTCATACATCTCATCTGTCAATTAGGCTCGAAACATGGCGTAAACCTCTTCACCTGAGCAGGAGGAGGGATGACGGAGGGATACAAAAGAGAGGGGTGCAAAGAAACGAAAGAATATAAAGAGCAAGCGGTGGAGAGGAGGCTGAGGAGATGGGGGGAAAAGCCTGAATGAAAGAAATGCGTTGGGAATTCAATCGGAGGGTGAAGAGGAGGGGATTGAGATAGCCGTGTAGTGGAATCATTTCGAGGAACAGAGGGTATGACCGCGCGGCTGCTGGGGGCTTAGAAGGATTGAGGAAAAAAAAAAAAGACAGAACGAAAGACTGGGGGTACTTACATTGTCTTTTGCATTATAATAGGAGATGTCTTCGTCCTGTAAAAAGAAGAAACACATGTTATGTCAAGGTAGAGCAGTGTTACATAAACAGATGTGGCATGGCCTGGATGAATAAGTACACTGGAGTAATTCTGCATATATATATATATATATATATATATATATATATATATATATATATATATATATATATATATATATATATATATATATATATATATATATATATATATATATATTTATATTATATTTATATTTTAGATTAAAAATCTCAAAGTACCATATTTTTTGGACTATAAATAAAAAAATTTTCATGGTTTGGGTGGTCCTGCATCTCCGGTGCAACTTATACATTAACATTTTCACACTGACAGCTGTGAGAGGGCGCTCTAGGCTTGCTGCTCCTATTATTCCTGTACCATAGAATTGTCACTTCACTCTATTGCACATGTCTTGTGCAGAAAGAGCCACTGTCCTGTCTGCATCATGTCACTCAATCTCACCATTACTTCGTACCACTGAAAAATTTAAATTTACACAAACTGATAAAGACAACTGAGAAGACTGAACACAAATGTCCCCAAAAAGAAAATCATATTTCGAAGATTACAAGCTGCTAGTAGCAAAATATGCAGCCAAAAATGGTACTCGAGCAGCAGAAAGAAAGTTTGGAGTGATCGAGAAACTTGTGACACCGGGAGGGTGCACCATGCAACTTTCCTGGAAGTAATTGGATGGATCGACAAAGCATGAACTTCAGGGACAATCAAAACCATCCTGTCGGGATTCAGAAAGACTGGAATAATTCTAACTGGAACTGAGTCTGACGACAGCTACGCAGAAGAGGAAGCGGCATCCGTTTACCTGCCGACGTCATGGAGTTGCTCAGAAGTGACACCGAGGATGAAGAATTAAAGGGATTTAGTGATTTGGAATGAGATCTAGAGTTTGGTAAACTTATCTTATGTTCTGTTGTTTATGCTATAGTTATCTGAATAACAGTTACATTAACAGCCTGTTACTCTCTATTCTATTGTTATTACTATAATTTGCTTTTCAAAATAAAATGCGGTTACTGAGCTCTGATTTAATAAAATTAATTTCCCCCAGAAAGTCCAACTTATAATCTGGTGCAACTTATATGTTTTTTTCTTATTCATTACGCGCTTTTTTGGCTGGTGCGACTTATACTCCGAAGCGACAAAAAATACGGTTTTCACTCTTTGCTTTGCTGACAGTGGATATCTCTTGTTAGAGCTAAAAACACCCCACCCACTGATGTCATGAGGTGCCAATCTCCAAGGAGTGCTTTTCAGAGTTTTTAAAGGACTTATATTAACGCAAAATGGACTTTTGAGATTTTAATCATTATGTTGTCTTGTCACCAAAAACATACCTGGAGTTGTATTTTTTGCTTCATTCATGCGTGTTTCATGAATTCATTAATCCTGTTTGCATTTTGCCTGGATTGTCGCATCACAGGTAAAACTCCGGACTTCTCGTATGCAATTTTCCATAAACCATAAACCATCATTGGACTCACATGGTTCTATTAGCCTACCATTCACAGAGGAATAGAACTTTAATTGTTTACTTTCTAAATATTAATTCCAATTGCTGACAGTAGGGGGAGCTTCAGCTTCAGAAATACTTATCCCCAGGTAACCCGAAAGCATGTTTAAAAGAAATAATGCCACAAGAATGCATAATGTATGTTCTTTAACGTTTGCATTCTTTCTCTTCTTTCACATGCTCAAAAGTCCTTTACAAACAGCACACCCAGGTGCAATAAAGTCTATAGCACGTCTGTATTTTACATTTGCACACAGGCCGAGTGAGTCTGTGTGCCGCAGGGGGAGTGGGGAATGATGACTATTAGCTCCAAGGCTAACAACTCAGGAAATTCAATTTTCACACTTGCGGCAGTATAAACCCTGATAATTTCACCATGTGTTCAACGATCAAATTCACACCTTAAAGGCACTGTACCCAATTTTTAAACATTTAAAAAAACAGATGATAAAAACATTTAATAATTGTTGTTGTTGCTGTTTTTACAATATATTTACTGTACTAATACAAATGTCACTTTATTACATGAAAAAATAGAGTAAGCAAGTGGTAGAGTGCATGGAGATTTATGCACAGCGCCCTCATCTGGCACACTCATCCCACCCACACTCACCAACAGGAGGGAAAAGTGGGCGTGGTTCAGTATTAATTACCTAGTGCTTAACATCTACTATTGTAAATATAAATTATACTTTCACTCCAACCAAAAAGAAATACACAAAGAAAAGAAAAATATGTTGAAAATGACAGGGTTAGAGAGTTCTAAACATTGATGACATTGCACTAGGGAGAATTCTATCCAAAAGTTAGGCACAATTTATATGTAAGAAACACGTTGAAGATCTACTGTATAGCTAAAATCAATCACCTAAAACAACTTAACAAAAGAAACAAGTGACTTCTGTTTAAAAAATGTGATGCCCAATGGAGGCTGACGTTGCTGTAAACACCATAATAACAAAGAGTCAGCACCTCCGATGGATAGGTGCAAATCACACCACTGAGCAGATGAGCAGATGAGAAACAAATCACACCCTAGCTAGAACATACCAATGCAGCAGAGTCAAAATATGATTTAAAAAATGAATAATGCTTACTAAAATATGTCCACGTTTCTAATCTTTTGTAGTAATGGCTCCTCTCAAGTAAATGTTTGGTCTGACAGCAACTGAATTTCAGATAACCTTGGCTTTCAAATGAGGTATATCAAAGCCTGTGTAAACTAAAGGTCACTCCTCAGTCTTCTGCTACTCTCATACCTGCTTCAAATGCTAAAAAATTGTAATGAAAGAACAAAGGAAAACAAGCGGTAAAATGGGGTCAATTTTAACAAGCTTTTTTTCTGTTTTTTTTTTTGCAAACAAGGTCTTTTTCAAATTTGGCAGGAGCAGAAAAAGACTTAGTAATAACTTAAACTTTGGCAGAGTTTGCATAGGGTCTTACATGGCAACCTTGAGGTCTGCTAGGAAGTTTATAGTAAAGTTTTAGAATTGGATTCTGAGATTGTAGTCTCAGTATCTTATCTGTATTCCCTGGGATCCAGAATACAAACTTCTCCAATACTTTGCAGACATGTGAGAGTCTGTTCAGCAGTGAATCTGCCTGAGTTCAGATGGGAATGATTGACAGGTGGATTAGCAAATCAGAGGTACGCATGATCTGTCCATATCAAAACAAATATGATTAAAAAATAAACTTACAAGGGAAAAAAAAGGAAAAAAATGACAGGGGACTGAGGTGGGAGAAATGCAATTTCTTTTGTAAATGATAGGTGACCAGTGAGCTTCTTTGTTTCACATGCATCACTGAAATAAACAAATCTGATTGGACAACACGACAGCAGGAACAAGACTGATAGCCCTCTGTATAAAAACCTCTTATCAGTTTGGATTTGTGAGGCAGCTAGCTTTAAGTAGTCTATGTATAAAAGTTGAAACACCCTTTCAATATTCCTTTCACCTAATCAGTTATCATCATGTAACTAATTCTGTTTTTAGTCATCCCATTTTCTTCAGTTCACACTTTTGCTAGCAGTGAGAGTCAAACACTAATCTAAGTCTAACAAGGACAGAGGAGTAGTGTCATCAGAGAACATAGCAATATATCTGCCTTCCGGTGATGCTCTGTAATTGTCTGTGAAACAAATAAAGAACAATGGAGACAAAACACATCCCTGAGCTGAACCTGTGTTTGAGGACCTGCTATACATGTGGCCATTCACCACAACCTCACCACCAACAGTAATGCTGATTTATTCTGAATTACAAAAACAATTGACGCAATGGCCAAGATGTTATGTTACAATTCAGTCTTTTGGTTGTCAGGACAATAATCCAATCAGAAAGCAGAATGGGCCTCACATGAATCTCTAATTTGAGTTGCCAGTTTCGATGCTATATCCAGTTGGTTTAAACCTAAAAGGGCTCTTTCTGATCTGAATCGTCACTCCAAAAACCCAGCAGCCTCTGTAGTGAGTGAATTCTGGAGGTCCTAAGCTTTCACATGAGACATGGCCTGTGTGCTGTATGCATTAAAGCAACCCAGGTTCAGTTGTGTATTTTTTTTTAAACTGTAAGAGTGCAGACTACATACATTTCCTTTAATGTTACATATTGCTTTCTTTAGATTAAGTTTACGAACCCACTCAATAAAATACATAGAACCCATTGTTTGTATGTGCTTGTCCAATCTTGAGCTCCACTCATCTTTTTACATTGTACGAGCTTACTGCTATTTACGATCTCCGGGGAAGCATTTGTGTTCCTTTAACAGTGCGCTATGGACCACCTCAGCCCAGTCCATCCATCTCAGCGTGTGCAGCGAACTGTCATGGCCGCTGCTGACCTCCTCCTCCTCTCCTTCCTCCTCCTCCTCTCCATGGTTCAATAATAAAACAGCCCGGATGAGGGATGGGCCTGTATGATGTCCAATAAAGCTGTTTAGCGATGGAGCAGTAATCAGAGCTAACAGGCGCAATGATGAATTAAAGCTGTCCACACAAAGGCATAAGAGGAGGAGGGATACACGCCACCGGGATGCTCAGGGCTATACTGCCTGTACAATTACAATGCCAATATTTGAAATAGGGTGCAATTACAGTACAACTATCTTTCTGTATTCATCGAGACCAGACCAAGTTACAGGGCAGATCTGTGGAGAGGTATTTTTGAGCTGTAAAACCACCTGTGAGTGAATAAATGTGAGGTAGAGCTGTTTAATGTCTAGAACATTCCAGGCAGAGCAATGACATCTCCATAGAAACAAGCAGATGGAGGAGCCCTGACCAAAAATTTACATAGTGCACCTTTAATCTTAATCTATAATGAGTCATAAAAGTTCAGCCTTCTACAGCTAAAATCATACTATTATGCATAAAAATAACCAACATTTTCCCACTATAGTAAAGAAACAATTAATATTGACTCCCAAAAATTGTAATGCTATCTGTCAAATATTGAACTTTAAGCTGAAATAGTAATTATCATGACAGGCGTATTCCATCTGACACCGTCTTGATTATTCATAGTTAGAGATTTTTGTGGGCTAATCCTAACTGCGGTAGGAAAAAATACTGGGGACTGGCTCCGCTGTTCTAAAAACTTCCCGGAATAACGGAGACACTAAGTGGATAATGAGCTGCATCTACTGTGTATGACGTCATCAACTTGGAAAATTGTCTGGAAAATGCAGAGCACTTTACACATAGTTTAGAGAAGGAAACTGACAGAAGAAGAAAATGCTGACTCCACAAAAAGCGCCTACATGACCAGGGTATTGAACTTGCGACCTTCTTACCGTGAGGTGACAGAGACTAACAGATGTGCCACCTCGACTGTGTGCATTTGCTGGCTCTCTTACCTCAAACTCGTCTTTCCACTGGTGCTCCATCTGGAACATCTCTGCAGCCGTGGCCAGTTCCTGGGGAGTGAAAAATGACACACATTTAGAGAGGGCTGCACGAGGCGCGAGGTATAGAGACTACGGTGGAGTGGAGCTATGGAAAAGTGAAGAGAGAAGTTTCACTACATAACAGTGAATATATCAGCTCATGTATGGGGCTAAAGATTGTGTTATGTTACGGAGGCAGAAAGAACTACATAGACCATGACCCTTTCCTTTGTTTCCACATTAAAACCCTTTTAGTTGAAATATATCACTATTATTTTACAAATAAATGTCTTGCCATAGTACAGAAATATTGTCTAAGCAGCTCATGAGATCAAAATACTTCTGCATCTATTCATGAAGTGTTTTAATGTTTGATAATCAAGAAGTGTGTCTTAGCATGCTAGTTCTTGTTAGGTTGAGAGAAACAGTAAAACCCCGCTAGAGATTCTGAAAGTTGTGAAATGTGCTTCTAAAAATCCGCATGGTGAACAACTGTTGACTAATACTACCTAGTTTGTGATTGTAATGTTATTTAAGAGGGACTTGTTTAACAGCCCAGTTCTTTCTGGTCAGATTGTGTTAAAACAAAGCTCAGATTAAAGTCTAACATGAGAAACAGAACATCAGATGGAGCAGTACCTCAGTTAGCTTGATGATATCAGCTGCAAAATATCAATTCTAATACACAAAACATGAATATAAATGTATTATGCAAACTGTCACTTAATCCCAGTGATATTAAACCATATCTTGAACTAAAAACCCTGTGAACTATGAAGTTCTATTAGCACATCATGACTTTATAGTCTTAAGTTGTAAAAAGACATCCCAAAAGAAAACATGTCATTGAAAATAATCTTTGTTTTCTCGTATCTGTCAGAAAGTCCAGCACTGGCCAGGGGCAGTTCTGAGGCTGGATCCTGAATACATATCGTATCCCAGGGAACACTACACCGTCTTTTACAACACCATTCACCTATAGTGCTAAAATATGTTGAGAATGTTTCAAAACTTGTACTAAAAGCAGAAATACTCTCGCAATAGTCCACTACATTCTCAATAATTCAACACTCATTTCCTTAAAAGTGAAAGATCCCATATAATGCATAACTTAGTCATCTGTTTGAGATTTTTTGAGAGATTTTTATAGTTTATTTTAACAGATGTGTTTCATTCAGGCTTGGTTGAGTAAATCTCCAGAGCGCTTCTCACTGCAGAAATCTATACAACATTAAAGAGTTACTATTATGTAAAAATCGACTTTTTGGAGCTTTCTACCGTGTTATAACGCTGTTCCCTAATTAAAAACATGACTAAAGTAGTTTTATACGTCATCCATGCATGTGTGAGTAATCTTGCAATCTTGTAATCTTCCGGGTCTTATTCGAACTCTCCTGACGATTAGCTGTGAGATTCTGTCCAAGGCTCAGCTCACGAGCCTGTGTGATCCATGCTCCCACACGACAATTCTTCAGCAATATACGAAAGCAGAATACAAAACAATTCACTACAACTCGACAAACCTGATGTGATGTGCAGTAGTTTCTTTAGCTGGTTGTGTTGGGATAGTTCTCTGATGGGGGAGTGACGGTCAGGAGGGTTCATCACCTCCATGGAGATATTGAAAACTAGGGATGTAACAATATTCAAGTCTCACAATACGGTATGAACCTCATGGTACGATATTTAATGTGATATCGTGGGAAAGCTCACGATATGGTGGGGAGGCTCACGATTAGGGATGTAACAATATCCAAAACTCTTGGTACAATATTTTCATGATATACATCTCACGGTACGATATTTATTGCAATATTTTGTGGAGGCAAAGCAAACAAAACTGTTAATATACTACTTTTTCCTGTTAAAATACCTTAACAAGACTTAATCCAAAGAATTAAGACTTAAAAGTGCTTAGAACTGTTATTTCTTCTTGTAGTCTACACTGAAATGTATCAGAATCATGGTCTATGTAGTTCTGTCTTTTTTTAGCCATTGCTGCAACATAACTCTTAATTTAAGCAAAGAGACTTGTAATTCAATATATTGTGATGGTCCATGATATACTTTTTATGGACGCAAGCAGTTGGCGAACCCTCCACCAGAAAAGTTACACAGTGCACCTTTAAACTTATTTTCACACCTTTGTACCTGCTTTTCTGTTTGTTCCTTTACAGTGATACCGCATAGATGTCCACAAAGCACACGAGACACTGCACCCAGACCCCTTTATGAAATAACCCTGCCCTTTCAGAGAGGTCTCAGCCCCACCAGATCCGCAGCAAGCCCCCATCTGCCGCGCGGTCTAAATACAGCAGCGACCCGATCTAACGTCATCGCGCCGGGTTAGCACGCGGCCCTCTCCGTGTGCACGTCTAAGGCCTGGCCCCGCTCTTTATCTCTCTCCCCTCCCCTGCCCTGGCTGTCACAGCTAAATATACAGCCCCCATCAGCACTAACCATGAGCGTAGCATCAACAGCAACAGAAGCAGATGCTAGGCTTAATGGATTTGTGAGTGATGGTGGACTAGTGAGCGTCATGCTTCGTGAGGTTGAGTGTTGTCACGACACAGAATTTTTAAACTTGATTTCGATAAGGAATAGACTTGATCATTAATACTGATTCCGATGCCATGATAATAAGAACATTTTGACAATAGAATGTGATTTTACAACATTAAATCATAGTACTTTCTTTTATATTACCATGTAGTCTTATGTCTGTGTAATCCCTCAGTTGTCCAGGTAGGTCCACAGTGGTCCAAAGGTGTATGCTAAGTCTATGTGCTCTTATACTTGTTCTGATACAGCTCAAGATCATTGTAAGGCTATTCGGAAAAGGTTCAGTTCTTTCTGGTGAATGTGACTTTTTTGTATTGATACATGCTCAAATTTCAAAGTTTCTAGTTTCGATACTAGTTTTTGTATCAGTTAGTATTTGATTTTCGATACTTTTGAAACCCTAATACAATCTGGTTCGGGAGAGAAAAGGGGAAGTAAATGTGGGAGCATTTTGGATGGCAGGTACAGGGTAAATGCAAAGATCATCCTCATTTACAAATAATACTATCTGATACTAGCCCATGTGTGGCTATAGAAAGAATTGGAAGCAAAGTAACATCAACAAAGAATGTATGTAGCAACGTTACTTCAAAATAATATAAAAGCAAAACTACAGAGTAGTGGTAAAAAAAGAATATGAGAAAACTGTACTTAAGTACATGTGTAAATAACAGCAAGTCTAAGAGCAACTGTCTGAACGTGAGATGTGTTTTATAATTTTAGGTTAGATTCATTGTTTCAAGTTTCAAGTACAAAACATTAAATGATGCATAAAATCTGGTATTTTCAAAGGACAGACACTAAAATGAAAAAAAACCAAAAAAACCAAAAACCTAACTTTGTATCTGTAGGAGTAGATAAAGACACACAAATGTTCAAATCATTCCAGCTTTTGTCTTACTCTCAGTAGGAAGTGTAAACTAAACTTTTACTCAAGTAAGAGTACTTTAAGACTTACTTCAAACAAATTGCCCAAGTGGGAGTAAATGTGCGCAGTCTAAACACTACTCTGAGACGATCATTTTCTTTAAAAAGAGAATCAAGTACATGAAACTATTACCTTTTGTTACATCACAGCATTTAACTAAAACCCACAATTGGGTCATAAGCTCCAGGTGTCTCTCTTGTGAGCCTTAACCATGTTAGAATGTTGTTACCTCATCAAAACATGCCTGGAGTTGGGATTTGTTTCATTCACACATGTAGAAGTCTTTATTATTCTGTCTAGATCTCCATAGCTCAAAATGCTCTGTTATACCTTGTGATGTCAAGAAGCAGTAGAAGTTAACAGCTACCTTTTAATTGTAGTTCAGTAGAGATTGACAATTCCAGGGCTGAAATTATCCAAATGTTTTTAAACTCCATACACCTTCTGTAAAATCATCACAAACATACCTGAAGTTGTGTTTTGTTTTTTTCGTTCATACACGTTTAACACACAAACCCCAAACAGAAAACTACTACTTGTGAAAACTACATTATAACAGAGATCAGAAAAAAATCCAAAAACATATAAACTTATTTGTTGACATAAAGTTTATATATTTTTCAGTGCAAAACAGCCATCCTTGCTTAACTTTTAAATAATCATTTTAATAATGACTTAAAACAGTGACATATGGTGAGTGTTGAGTGTTGAAAGGTTTTAACAGTTCTGTAACACTGTTTCAGTGTTTCCTGACAGATTTCATATCCAACTCTCAACAAACAAAAAGTGCAGCATGCAACTTTTCTGGTGGTGATGTTGGTAGCTGGAACGTTCCACAGTATGGCATTAAATTTATCTCTCTTCCCAGAGACGAGCCGGTGACACCACTAGTCATCAGAGAAATTAGATGTCAGATCAGTATTTATTTATTTAATGTTTGTAATTATAAGTAGAAAAAAACATGATTGAATAAATGCAAAATAGATCAGTTTAGGACCTCTGTTAAAACTATTTTCTGATCGATGTTATGATCTTGTTTCCTCATCAAAAACATGCCTACACCTTCACTAGAATAATTTGGATTCAGCTCTGGCATTCTGAGCTTTGGGGATATACACAGCCAATAATGCAGGATACCTCAGACACGTGTGAATGTAACACAAATCTACTCCAGGCATGTTTTTAAAGAGGCAACACCATTCTAACATGGCTTAAAGCTCACAAGAGTCCATTTAGTGTAACATAGGTCCTTTACTGCCATACTATGGAAGATTGCAGGCAATTCCAAGCAATAACTCAAGAAATGTATTTGCTATTAGTGCAGAGGGCTCTCAGGGGTTCAAGTAAAAATAGGTAAAAAGTACATTTAAGAAAACATAATAACATCAACATCAACAATTACATATCCATGGAGACAAGCCGAAAAAGTTCCACGGTGCATCATTAAGGGATGGACTGCTGTAGTATAATAAATGATATGGTGCAGATGGGAAAATGTGATTTTAAATGGATAAATCATGATATTTTGTGATTTGCAGCC